ATATTGAAAACAGCTCTGATAAACGTTTGTATGAACAAGGAGCAAAAGCGAGAAACAGGGTACCGTACATTGGAAGTTGCTCTGATGAGCGACTTGGGCGAAGACCTGAAGGCGCCCAGGGATGGCAACGGCAAAAAGGTATAAGCCTTATCCTTGCCATAACAGATACAAATATCACTGTGTCTGATCTTCAAGCCTTGTTTTTACTGCTCCTTTAATCGCGAAAACGCCACCACAAGCGCAAATATAGATAATCTGACCCTAATAATGCGATTTAGCTCCCTCTGACTTTCGGCAAGGTCAAGCTCGACTCTGTAACAGCTACGTTTGCAGCCCTCTAACAGCTACTGACCAATCGATGTGGATTTCACGTTTCTACTTTAATGTTGCACGCTCAAATAATGGCAAGGGCATGCGGGTTTCTAACAGTGGTCGACAGCATCGACGACGATTTTTTGTGTAGCTGGAGCAATTAGTGACTTTTTTTGATGCGATATTCAGGCTGGGCAAAACTTATGATGATCCTTGTATGGCAGAAACAGCTGGGAAATAGCATAAGTAATGAGCGTGCAAATTGATTTTGTAGCTTGCCTCCTAGACTTTCCCTGTTTTAGCCAATAATATGTTTCTATTTTAACTTTATAGGCTTATGATATCTAATATTTTGTGACACATATATATTTGAATAAAGGTTTTATGATTTAGACTTGAGTAAAATAAAGAACATTCACAGCTGTGTTTTGAAACAACTACTCGACAGATCACACTGAAACGTATACAAATAGATTTTGTGGCGCTAGAGCTTTCGATTGGTGTATTTTAATACCAAGGTTAAAATGCGTCCTCGGTGCTGTCGACCACTGTAAATTTACTTTTTAACCAGCTATTAGCTCTTTTGTGGCCAAGCCGCGAAATGCCCCCTTTTGATAGTATACCTTTAAGCGCCACCCGAGTCACACGCGAAAGGAATTATTTTGCCCCTTTTTCGTTTTGTGTGGACGAGACGGAAATCACTCTATCTCCATAAAGTGCCTGGATTTGCAAAACAAATGCAGTAGTACAGTAGTTTATGAAAGTGGGCAAATGACCCCCTATAATGGCCCAGTGAGGGCATCTTCAACAAACGTGCAAAGTATGCAATATTGCACAAAAAGACGCAAGTGCAAAACTCGGAGCTTCAACAGTGTATTGATAGATATTCAAAAGTGACTATGAAGCTACCACATCGGATTGCCTGTGCAATGCGACTAATTTGAAGTCAAAAGAGGACGAGCGAAAATACTTATATAGTTTGATGACTATGTCTGGTAATCCACTTGCTAGACTTGTGGTGTCCCGAGAGCGGCACCCTCGTTTTTAAATCCAATAATGATTGGGGACCGCGTGCACCCCACCGCAGTTATAGGAGCTAATGCTGACGTTAGCATCAGACAAAGCTCATAAAGCTAGGGCTGAAGCAGGGGCTGGGATAGCATCGGAATATTGAAAGTGTCACCGAATACGCTTCGTATGTCGGTTCATTCCGGCCCTGTACCAAACCACAAAAGGTATGACTTACGTCGGTCTCACATCGAGCGTGGCGGACGCTTTTTCGGACAAATTTCAAGCCAAAGTCGAAACTAAGCAAATTAAAATGCTGTAGCCGCTCTGCAACACTTCGTACTGCTATCCCATCCAAACAACGCGAATTGATTGAATAGTACCGATGCCCGTACGCCACAATAACCAATTGGCCCGATCCGGTTACCGACTCGTCGCTACAGGCTGATTTCATGAATTACATGTCGCAAGCGGCAACCAACGTTGTAGAGACGGAATGCTGCTTATAGACACGAAATTACAGTATTCGCACATGATGTCTCTCGCCCAGCTAGCCGAACAAGTTACCAGCAGCTACCTGACGTCTGTCTAGAAACTATTGACTGGCCGCCATTTATATTTTCAAGAGAGCAACCCACGCAGCTTTGGTACGCAAAAGTTGAGATTGACATGATATCGACGCGCACATTATTGGACCAGTGCTGAGCGGACAGATCATCACGCTCGGTGTAGTTGTAGCAAGACCAGCCGTTGGCGAAGCAACTTGCTTTAAGCAAGGCGAGAAACCTTGGGTATCAGCGAGGATAAGATTCGTATCATAAGAACCCTTCCATTAAAGCTAGTGCTTTACGAGGAAACTTATACATTTTTAAGGCCCTTGCTTCTGCTATGGGAAATACTAATACGAATAGTGAGAATAAAACACCTGACCAAAAACAACGTACAATTTGTTTCTTTACGCGGGCGCCCGTATATCCTAAAACAGGCGGTTGGGTTCATGGTCAGCGGTCAAAGCGAAGTGGCAACATATACTTTAGCTGGTGTGCAACGCGCTTATCGAAGCATCATAATCATCGATATTCTGGCAAATGTTCTCTGAATTTTATTTTGGGACCCGATTGATGGTTCAGCTTCGGTAAGCTTTTCCGGGGTAAAACATAAATTCTGGAAGTTTTAATACCGAAATACCGTTTATCGACATAGTGATGTCTTAGACAGCCATACATATGCAAACTGAATAAGCTGCACGAATGTTTCTTGTGTCGTCGCCCTCGAGGTAAGGTACGTCCCTACTATTGTGCTGCTGCGCCAGCTATTAACAAAACCTTTACGTCTCTAAATTAGTAAATGGTCATGTTTCATGCTTTGGTTTTAAAGAAAGCAGTACATACAGACGACCTTAGAAAACAATTGCATGCGCTCCGTGTCTCAATTTCTCAACCTAGGGACGTGCTTAATCAAAATCCATATTACCGACTCGTCGCACTACATGTCGCAAGCGGCAACCAAAGACCTCGGCGCGCCCCTACGAGAAGTGTATTCTTAGCTCCAGGCGCTTTTTCCGTCCGCACGGGCACTGGAGAAGGCGCTCAACCTGGTGTTGGCTGAAGAAGATGAACAACATGCAGAAGCTCTCCGTCGGCTTTGGCGTTCCCAAAACACGATAACCGACAATAGCCAGCGCCGGCGTTTGATTGCCGAAAAGAAGGCTGCCCGCGCTAAGTACCTGGAGATCGCGGAAAGCAACAACTAGAAGAATAGATGGTACTATGGAGGGCATTAAGTCGCAAGCAGCGAGACTTGTTGTAGCAGCACATACACAAACTCCGCACATTGAAGCTCCCTGCCTCGTGGGAAGTTTTGATGTAATGACCGGCTACACAACCAATGGCGCGAAGGATGGCTATGAGCGCGATGGAAGGGCAAGCAGTCACCTGAAAGTCTCCCCCCAGCGTGGAGCCGTGATGCGGAGCTGACGTATGCATCTGATGGATGGTCATTGACGATGCAGAGTCTGATGAAAACGAACGCCTGATCCACTGGAACGCTCCGCTAGGTGAAAGTGATGCTCCGGATGAGTGGGTGTCTGGCGATGAACATCAATACTCGCTTCGCTATAAGTCGACTGTACTGGCGTTTCTGGACACGGAGGATGGTGTTGCGTTCCAAACGGCGATCATGTGTGTGGACACATGGCGAGTAAGATGCAGGAGCTTGCAAACGCTAAGCAATTTAAGCTAGGTATCGAGTCAAGTGAGCAATCGGGGGGGATTTATTCCATAACCGGCGGTTGGGATCAAGGTCAGCAGTCAGAGCGACGCCGCGACATATACTTTAGCTGGGTGCAACGCGCTCATCGAAGCATCATAATTATCGATATTCTGGCAGAAGTTCTCTGAAATTAATTTCGGGATCCGATTGATGGCTTTCGGTAAGGTGTTAGCATTCGAAAATACCTATATTCTGGAGGGCTTAATACCGAAATACCGTTTATCGACATAGTGATGTCTTAGACAGCTATACCTATGCAGACTGAATAAGCTACACGAATGTTTCTTGTGTCGCCACCCTCGACGTAAAGTACGCCCCTACTATTTTTTCTGTTGCACCAGGTATTAACGGAAACGTTTACGTTTCTAATTAGTATATAGCCTTGTTTTATGCTTTGGTTTTAAAGAAAGCAGTACATACAGACGATCTTAGCAAGCAATTGCATGCGCTCCGTGTCTCAATTTCTCAACCGAGGGACGTGCTTAATCAAAATCCATATTACCGACTCGTCGCTAAAGGCCGATCTCATAAATTACATTTCGCAAGCGGCAACCAACGTTGTGGAGACGGACTGCTGCTTACAAACACGGAATTGCAGTATTCGCACATGATCGCTCTCGCCCAGTGCTGCGGGGCTGCCGTAGCTTTAGCGTCAGAGGAAGACGTTCGACTCAAAGAGTCACTGATACTAAGTTCCTTATCCAAAGGACACTTCAAAGCCAAGACCAGGGCTCAAAGTTAACACCTTAACTT